CAATTGTGACTATATAACGCAATTCTGACTTTATAACTGGTAATTGCAACTTCATATCACACAATTCTGACTTTATAACTCGCAATTGTGACTATATAACGCAATTCTGACTTTATAACTGGTAATTGCAACTTCATATCACACAATTCTGACTTTATAACTCGCAATTGTGACTATATAACGCAATTCTGACTTTATAACTGGTAATTGCAACTTCATATCACACAATTCTGACTTTATAACTCGCAATTGTGACTATATAACGCAATTCTGACTTTATAACTGGTAATTGCAACTTCATATCACACAATTCTGACTTTATAACTCGCAATTGTGACTATATAACGCAATTCTGACTTTATAACTGGTAATTGCAACTTCATATCACACAATTCTGACTTTATAACTCGCAATTGTGACTATATAACGCAATTCTGACTTTATAACTGGTAATTGCAACTTCATATCACACAATTCTGACTTTATAACTCGCAATTGTGACTATATAACGCAATTCTGACTTTATAACTGGTAATTGCAACTTCATATCACACAATTCTGACTTTATAACTCGCAATTGTGACTATATAACGCAATTCTGACTTTATAACTGGTAATTGCAACTTCATATCACACAATTCTGACTTTATAACTCGCAATTGTGACTATATAACGCAATTCTGACTTTATAACTGGTAATTGCAACTTCATATCACACAATTCTGACTTTATAACTCGCAATTGTGACTATATAACGCAATTCTGACTTTATAACTGGTAATTGCAACTTCATATCACACAATTCTGACTTTATAACTCGCAATTGTGACTATATAACGCAATTCTGACTTTATAACTCGTAATTGTGACTATAACGCAATTCTGACTTTAAAACTCGCAATTGTGACTATATAATGCAATTCTGACTTTATGACTGGTAATTGCAACTTTATATCACGCAATTCTGACTTTATAACTCACAATTGTGACTATATAACGCAATTCTGACTTTATGACTGGTAATTGCAACTTTATATCACGCAATTCTGACTTTATAACTCGTAATTGCAACTTCATATCACACAATTCTGACTTTATAACTGGTAATTGCAACTTCATATCACACAATTCTGACTTTATAACTGGTAATTGCAACTTCATATCACACAATTCTGACTTTATAACTGGTAATTGCAACTTCATATCACACAATTCTGACTTTATAACTGGTAATTGCAACTTCATATCACACAATTCTGACTTTATAACTGGTAATTGCAACTTTATATCACACAATTGTGACTTTATAACTCGCAATTGTGACTATATAAC